TTTTCGTCTCTTTTAGAGTCTAACAATGTTAGCTAGTGGGGTTTCACCTCCTGAGTCCTTCTGTCCTGATTTTGCTTATAAATATGTAGTTGCCACTTCGTGGAAATTTCTCTTAATGTCATGAATGTCGCAACAGAATGTTATTATCATTTAGTTCTTCATCCGATGAAATCACTACAATTCATCAATACCAGCTTCTTAATCTAATTTTGAGGAACAAAAAAAGAATGAAAGAGAGATGGATTTTTTCCAATTTTGCTTTTATCTAGTTCCTTTCTACCTTTTCCAGCTCTGCTCAAAAGTACTGGATTGAGAGCTGATGGAAGAGTCGATGATAGGTCCTTTTGGATCAATTATGTTTCCCCTTTATCTACTCCTTTGGCAATCCCATTGGTGTGCCCCAGGATGATAACCATCCATGATCTTGATCAGAAGGTATGTAATTGTTTGTGTGATATTGTAATTTTAGTATTATGCTCCTTCCCCTAAAATCTTTATACTGAACTGTCAGGAGTTGGATCATTCCCCTATTCCTCCTCCCGTCCCACTATCTAGTGCGGACATTTCTGACGAAGGAATATACCTCCTCGAGAATGGTGAAGATTGTTTAATTTATGTAGGCAACTCTGTCAGTCTGGATATTTTGCAACGTTTGTTTGGTATTTCTTCAATTGAAGAAATCCCTAATCAGGTATTCTACATGTTGTTTTCGTAACTCTTATTTGTTGATTGTCATCTTAACCTTCATTTAGATTCCTTTGCCTGCTAAGATGTCGGCAACACATCCACAGAAGAGTAACTTTAGAAATAAATATTCCAAATATTATTCTACCCAGAATCGTTCGATTCCAGTGCCCTTTTAGACTGTGTATTGCTGAAGTTTCCGAAATCTGATTGCAAACAATTTTTTACTCATTATTTGTGTTGGAAAATGTCTAGTGTCTCCAACTTAATGGTGTTGTACTTTGTCAGTATGTACTGCAGCAATACGACAATCCACTGTCAAAGAAACTGAATGATGTTGTGAATGAAATAAGGCGCCAGAGATTTTCCTACTTACGGTATGATTATCCTTTTAGGCAAATAATGTTGCCCTTTATATTGAATAAAGTTTTTTATTTTTTAATTGTGGCAACTTTTTCTTCTAATATTCTTTCTTTCTTCTCTTCAGCTTAAAGTTGTGCAGAAAAGGGGACCCATCAGGTTAGTGAATCATACAACCCTTTAGCACAGCATAACACTAGACGTGTCTCCTTATGGGGAAAAAAATGAAGCAAAACAAACACGTTTTTTGATATAATGAGACAAGCATGGGAGAGTTTTACAGTGAATGGAGGACTTTAGGGGTTATTAAAATTTAGCCGGCATGAGAGAGTACAAGAAATATGAAATTTAGTGGGATTTTGGGGTTTGACTAAATGAGGTTTTATGCAGTACAAGACGTGGTTTTGTCTGAGTTGAGCTGTATTATTTTCATCGTTATTATCATTTTTTATTTTTTTTTTAAATATTTTGCAGGGATGATGTTTTTCTCTTACATGGTAGAGGACAAGACTCCAAGTGGGCTTTCATATGTCGAATTTCTAGTGCATATCCATAGGCAGATTCAAAATAAATAGGGGTGAAGATACACACTTCTTTAGTTTTGTTTACAAGTTTTGTTACCTTTAGAGGGATGCACATGGATACAAGATCCAAGTATCTGAAATAGCGCAGTAATCTGCACTTCAAGGGAGCCTTCAGTTGTTCATTTGTGGTGAAGAGAAGCCAATCCGGACTTTTATTAGAGGTTTAGCAGTTTTGAAGGTTCCTATACTTGCAGGTGTGAATTTCAGTAATAAATTATAAGGATTGTTTTTATTTATGTGTCAGCTTCGTATCTGTCGTATTACATTCATTTTCAGTCGAAACTTTGGTTTGTGGGCGGATAATTTTGTAGTATATAGACGAAATTTTTTTCTTGCATTGCCAAGGGAGTTGTAAGACGCAATATTGATGCTGGTTTTCAGGTATATGTGATGTACAATGAAAGTAGGACATGAATTTGAAGAATAATTTGTTGCAGATGATGATATTTTTGAACCTAAAACTTTTGAAATATACTTCGGTAAAGGTATTTGTAACTTATTTAGCCCTTGTTTGAAAATCTTTAAAATTTTAAAGCTTGTTTGTCATCCATTATGGGAGAAAACATAGAGTTTTGAATAGTATTTTTTAGAGAATCTGTGGTTGAAATTTAAAGAAGTTTTATTGGTTTGTGTGTAGAATATTTTATTATGTAAATGTGTGATGGAGAATGTTACTGTAGCAAATAATTTAATTTGTTAAAGGATGACAAATAGGGACTTAAATTGTTTACTACAGTATTATTTTTCATCACACTTTCACATAATAAAATATTTTATACACAAACCAATAAAATTTCTTTACTTTTTAACCACGCATTTTTCAAAAAATACTATTTAAAACTCTTTAATTTTCAAATAATGGGTGACAAACAGGGCATTAGTAGCCTATATTGGTATTTGATTGATATGATCGTTGAAATTTGGTAGTCAATTAGAGTGTGGGATGCAAAAAAGATATGTTAATGTTATTTTTGGTCAGATAACTTTGATTTCTCTCACATCATTGAACTGCGATTTCTTTTAAATGTTAGTTACTGCTTGGGTCTTTGTTACTAAACTTAATGTTAAAATCTTATGTGAACGTTAAAAATTGAAGGCAATTTGACGTGTCATATGTTTCTAGGTAAACATTTGATGATCATAAAGTTTGAAAACATTTGTGTTTAAAAGTACGACTCTCGAGGTCTATCCATTCTACTTTCAAGATTTTGCGTCTGCAAGATGATTAAACACGGGTGAACAAAGAATTGAGATATTAAATTTAGGAGGGTGTTTGAGTTACATTATTTTGGTAATTATGCATTCTTGAATAGGGTATTGATGGGAAATGTGTGGTTAAAAAACAAGAAAATTTTTTTTATTTGCGTGTAATATTATTTTATTGAAGAATGTGTGGTTGAAATGATGTCAAATCACTGTTTAAAATGCATTTTTTTGGAATAATGTGGCTCAAACATGCTCTTAGTAATTTGGTTTAGTCCCCATTTGGTTGCAATTTTCAATCAAAAAAATCAATTTTTTGATTGTTATTTCATTATTTCAACCTTAATTTTTTATTTCTTCTCTTACAGGTGGAACTTACTTTTCTCTCTGACGATTAAAAAATCAATTCAAATAATCAGTAGTGAACAAAACCTTAGCAAAATGACAAAGTAAATTGAAGTTCGAAAGTTATATAAAATAGATAGTTTAATCATGTATAGTATAGAATTAATAAAATTTGATTTCTTTTTCTATTTTATTATTGTTCATCCTGAACACTAATGTGTCCAAAACAAGACATCAATGCAATCAAATCTGGCTTTCACAGTTTAAACATTTAGAAAACATACAAGTATTGAGAGTGGTATATCCATCACCCATTAATAGCAAAATTGGAGAAAAAGGACTAATAAAAGGAAATGCAATAAAAAATAATAATAATAACAAAAGGTATGCAGGGTTTGTCTAGTACTGTTTATATGGCTGACGTGGTTTACAGGCTATTGCGTCAACTCGAGGGTTTACCCAGTGTGCATTCGAAAAATAGCGGTTGTAGTTTTTTCCGTCATTAAAAAAAAAAAAAGGTATGTTGTATCCTAACTCTTAGGGTAAGTCCCATGGTCCTCCACATTCTGAAAATGTCGCACCAATGTCCCCAACTGAAAAAAATAAAAATAAAAAAATTCTGAACATTACATTGTCACGTGACACTTATGTAATGTTAGACTCATTATGAGTTCAAGACAAGCCGCTATGGTGAAATTGGTAGACAGTGTAAAATTGTTCAAAAAGTGGGTTTTTTTTTTTTTAATTCGTAAATAAATCAAGTGACAACAATTTCGTTTAAACATCCAAATTTGTAGAAGTCTTCACAGTTCATGAAACGTATCATGCAATTACTTCAATCTATCTATGACATCACATAAGTGTCCCATGACCTTTTATTATCCAAATTAACTTTTTCTTAGGGATGAAAAATTGCATGCCCTGATGTCGAATGCCAACATTGACCTATTGATGGCAATGTATCAGGGCGGAGTGCGGTGGAAGGGGATTAAAAAAACCCTCATTTATTACCCTGTTGAATTAATTAAGGGACTAATATTAAGTGCGAGAAAAAAAAAATTAAAAAAAAGGTAAGTTTTTTTAATTAAATGAAGTTAAAATTTAGTAAGCTTGATACAATAAGAGTTCTTATAAAAGAGTGACTTTTTTTTTATTATAAGAGAATAATATTGGATAAAACACTTACTTAAAAATGTAACTTTATTTTGCATTAAAATACAATTTTATTTTGTTTAAATTTAGACAAAATTATTATTATAAATTTATATTTTGAAATACTTGTCTATTTTTGAATACATCATAATTTGTCTTGATAGACATGAAATTGTAAACAATTCATATCATAAAGCAATTTGTTTGTAATTTAATCGTGTCAAAAAAAAAAAATGGATTGGAATTTATTAAATGAACAAGAAATTGTTGCAGGAACAAGTCATTTTACCAAACTTCACGTTCACTTGATTCCAAAGTCAAACATATGAATGGTTCAACATCCAACTATTTTTGGTACTAAATAAATGCTTTTATTTGCATAAAATACAATTCTAACTTTCAATACTATAATTCATTTAAAACATATAATTGTTCAAGTTGTCATGCAATTTCAACTAGATAATATTTAACGTTTTCTTCGTCTTTGGAAGCAATGATTTAACCATTTTTCTCGATAACTTGTATCGATACTTTCATTCAAGATCAAACATGTTATCAATAATGTATATATATGTTCAAGTCGAGCAATTTCGCCTAGATATTAATATTTAACGTTTTCTTCGACTTTAGAAGCATGATTTAACCATTTTTCTCGACAACTTGTATCGATACTTTCATTCAAGATCAAACATGTTATCAATAATGTATAGCAAACAGAAAAACACTAAAAACTTGTTCGCATTACAATTATAATCAAGGACATTCACGAAATGGACGAAATAAAATCTCAAGTTAATACTCAGAATATCCACCATCAGCCCCACCGCCTGCGCCACCATCTCCACCGCTATCGCCTCCACCAATAATACCTTCCATGACATTCTGGCCAACCTGCTGGAAAGCCCCTTCAACCAGCCCCTGCACCGCTGCCGTCATCAAGGTGGCGCCGAGCCCATTTACCATGTTTGGTTGCTGAATATTGTTCTGCATAGGCGGCGCCGGCGCCATATTTGTTGGCACAAACCCTGTATTCACAGGACCCATATGAGGATTTGTGATTCCACCCATACTTGCACCGTGCATCATATTATGGGGAGCCTGAAATTGTGATCCAGTGCTTGCAGAGTGAATCGGATGAGGATAATTAGGGTTCATAGGGATCCCAGGAGCCATTAGATGATTTTGATTACTTGCACTGGGAAATGAATGGTGATGATGCACAACAGGTTTAGGTTTAGGCATAGCTGTTGTACAATCCAAATGCACATCAAATTCGCAAAAACTGCATCGGTAAAGCCACTGCTTAGACCCAATCTGTCTACAGATATCACAGGAGAATCCTTTAGCCTCGTAAGGAATCTTGAAAGTTAGCTCAAGCGGGCACGAATGTGCACGATGAGTAACTTTCATCGGTTTTTTCGCACACAGAACGTGGAGATCATAATCACAATTTCCACAGTGGTAGCTGAACCCTTCGCCATAGCGGTTGCAGGCGTCGCAGTTGAACCTGCCGCCGGCGTAGGGGGAGACAGGGAGGAGAGTCAGATTGCAGCCGGGATGGGACGGGTGGGTGATCAGCTTCGGTAATTGAGCACATGTTGAGTGAAGAGTGAAATTACAGGGACTGCATTCGTACATAATTCCTGAGGCTTTAAGTTTGCATCCTGAACAAAGAATCGGATATTGAGGATCGGTCGGGATCAGTTCGAGTTCGTGAGGGTGGCTGAAGTGCTTGATCGGTGCCGGTGCGCCGCTACTTTGATTTACCCTTCCCATCGTCTGCGTTAATTTCTTCGAGTGTGTGTAATGGAAGAGGGGAGGGTGAAGATTGAAGAAGAGAAGGAATGTGAGAGTAGAAAATAAAGATGGAAACCAAGTTGACTTTTGGAGCATGGCTAAGTCAATTATTCCAACGCGTTTCCTGGTAGATAATGTCATTTTTGTAGACTTTTGAAGTCTTCTATCAATCTCTTCATGCGGTGGATGCATTAATGCTTGCCTTTTCTTTTTCATTCTTGATAATTAGTCATCAAAATTAATTATCAAGACATTTTTATAGCAAGACATTTTTATAGCATGTTTGATAAGAAGTGTTGAACAATATGCTTTCTGTTGTTATCAACTGCTATATGTATCGCATTTGGATCAATGTTGATTAGGAATAAGATGTTGGGCACCCGTGAATCCTAATGTCTTACTGACTGACTTAAATGTGATTCAGTATCGATGTACGTCACTACAATTGATAAGTAAAGACTTAAATACGTGTATTTGTGGAAGATTAAGTCATTTTGTGCATTTAGTCATTTAGGTTATTAAGTTTCTTAGTCCACAGTGTTTTATTGATTAGGAGCTTTTCAACTTGGATGTCTGATGCAAATGAGTAAGATCAAGCACCGACAGCATTATCTGTTATAACCCACTCACTCATAGTCAAAGTCAAGAAAATTATTTAGTCAAAGTCCAAAAATTCAATTGGTCAAAGTCAATATCAAATAGGGATTTAAATGAAATAAATTATTTTATTGGAGTTTAATTTATTATGAAAAATAGTTAAAGGTTTAAAATGGATAAAACTTAATTTTAGGGATCTACTTATATATTATTGAAAGCAAAGAAATATATGTTATATTAAATTGAAGAATAAGGACTTCCTTTGCAAAAATGGGTTGTGGAGTACATGTGGCAAGTAATTAACCCATTACCATTTTCATATGATATACACATGCGGAGAGATAAGGCTGGAGACGGGCAAAAGCAAGAAAAATCAAGAAAGAGAGGAAAAAAAAAAAGAAGAGGAAGAGGAAGGGAAAAAAAAAAAGGAAAGTTCGTCTATGTTGTTAGAAAATAAGTGGTCTACATTATTAGGCTTAAATTCCTCAATTTTGAAAGGTAAGTATAAAGTTACTTATTATCAAGTTATGTTTGATTTTATAATTGTTAGATTGATAGATTAAATTCAATTTTATTGAAAAGGTTAAGTATAATAAACTATAAAATTGAGTAAGATGAAAGAAAAAATAGTTTTAATGATTAAAAAGACTTTAAAAATCGCTTGAATGTGAAATGATTAAGTTTGAGTATTGCCTATTTAATTATTGAAATTATTTAAAATAATTAATTAATTATTTAAAAATTATATCGTATTTCAGGTGACGATACTGATATCAGAACAGCTTATCAACCGGGTTGATTTTGCAAACATAGTATTGTGAATGGAAAAATATAAATATTTTTAAAGTATTTATAAATTAAGTCTATTATCAAAGTATGTATAAATATGTATTCGATTATATGATTATAATGGAAATCTCTTTTATTATGATATATGTGGAATCTCAAAGATTATTTATGGTACATTTGTGACTTGATATATAAGACATGTGATATTGAGATTTGTTTGATATGTTAGACATAGAATATTGAGATCGGCTAGAAAAGTACTCGTAATTATATATTTCTTCCAATTCACAGAAGAGCCTTGGACGTGTTCTATCCTACATGGAGGGTCTTGACCGGTTATTGGTCTCGACCGTGTATATATAGTTCACAGAGGGGCCTTGACCGTATTCTAGAATTAATTACCAGAAGTCTTTGAGATTGGCTTTCGTTCACAGAGGGGGCCAAAGGCCCGTGACGAAAGTGCTTAGCCCAAGGGACATATTACAGATTTTAGTCAGAGGGTACATTTTTTGTGGATCACATGTGATGTGATGAGCTGATGACTATATCGTGATTATGAGATGATATTTACAGTGTTATAAGAATGACTTACTTTTTGCTATAATTGTATGAGTCTATCATGTGAATATTAAACGATATGAACTAAATGTTTGGTAAAAATGTTTAAAGGAGAAAATATAATTATTTTTGAACTCTTTCACTCATTGAGCTATAAACTCATATATTTTTTCGTAATTTTCCTATAGGTGGAAATTGATTCTTTTTAGTTGGAAGAGCCTAATGATTTCGGAATGAGAGCCACGTGATATTTTGAGTGTTATAACTCATTTTGATGAAGCACGAAGTAAATAATTTGGGGCCATCGCATTATGTTTTACATAAGCATTTGATTTTGTTGCATTTTTTGAAATAACTCATAGTCAACCTTGGTGATAGATTTGATATCTAGTCAGCATCTATTATCGGCGCACGTCACGTTTCGGATCCACTAGGGTGATTCGGGACGGGTCGTGTCAAAGTGGTATCAGAGCATGGTTTTAAAAAAATTTATGGTTCGTGCATGTTTAGTGGGTATGTCCACATGTCGTGGTAGCAGAAATTACAAGCTCTCTAGCTCGAATGTCTGGAACCAAAAATGATAGAAAAATATTTTTTTAACAGATTTAGAAATGACTAGTATTTAAGTGTGGTAGTTGTAGTGATCTGATGGTTGGAAATGTTATTAGTTGTTGGGTTGGAAGTATGTGTATATATAACATATTAAGATTTGAACAGATTTTGATGGTTTTGATGGGCATTCAAAGTTACAGATGTTACAACCACTTAATTATCAATTTATTTGTAGAACTACATGATTTTTTTGTATCTGTACATAGGAAAATTTTAGTTATAACTTGCACGATAAATATAGGGAAATGATTTAATATGTGATTGGTGATAACCAGTGAGGAATTTTAATTATTTTTGAAGTCAAATGGTCTTTAGTGTTATCAAAATTTTGTGGTGATTTGTGGCCATTTATATGGGATGATAAAAGAAATTATAATGGTGTATATTTATGCTATATGATAAGAAATTGTGGAAGACAAAATGATGATTTGTTGATTGATTGATGACAATGTGTTATTGTGTATTTTAGGCATTGAGGAAATTAATAGTAATTCCAATTATTTCGATTATTTATGAGTGGTTTGATTACAAGGAATGTGAGAATAATATGGATGAACTTCATAATGATTACCTATTATTGGGTGATTTGTTGCTTTTAAAATAGAATTAAATGGATATGTGCATTTAGGTATGTTTATGTGGAAAAAAAAATTGAAATTGAGAATGGTAGAATTGAAGTTTGTTGAGATTGCAAAATTAACATGCGGTATATTGATGTGTGAAATGTTCAAGTGAGAAATATGAAGGTTATCATCTTGTGATATTAAGAAAAATTTATATAATTAAATGTTTCAGGCATACGATATGACGATAAATACCCAAGGTTGTAAGATCATAACATGATATGATGAATAGCATGAAAATGAATGTAATGATTGTTCTATAACAAAGTAATGTGATGATTTATTTGGGTTATTTAAGTTAATGAATTTTGTTAAGGCCATTTGTTGATTACTGTGTTATATTTCATACAATTTGGAAGCGTCGAGTTAAATTTTGAAGTTAAGATGAATTTATTGAAATATTAGTGATGTAAATTTGGGCTATTTTTAATTGTATTTTGGATCATGAACAAAGTATTCCATTTTTGTCAAAATAAATTTGTTAAGGAATATAAGTAGGACATGTTGGCTATGTCTAAAGTTTAAGATGATCATCAAATATAGATTTTACTCATTGTGAAATAGTATTTTTAGATTACATTATCTTAATTAAATGTCTTTATGTGATATACAAAAAGGATTATGCATTGACGATAGATCAACGATCTATTTATAAAATAAGAAATAAGAGTATAGATTTTCATGGATTAAATGTTATTATTGTCCCTTCATAGAAATAGTTTTGCTATCAGGAAAGATTGAAAAAATATTTGCTCTTATATCTAAAGATGATAAGCAATTGATTCACGATAATAATTTATATTATGGTGTAGAAAATGTTCTCTAAGTGGAATGATAAAATATGGATTATATTGCAGATTGATAAAGATATATGATTAAATCATGATATATGGTTGGTTATATTGGGATTGACATTTAGAAATTGTGGCGTTATCACATGGTGGGAAGATCAATACTTACGGACCACGTGAGGTTAAGGTATATTTGTATTCAAAAAGGAGCCGAACTTGAAGCTTTGTATATATTATCGTTAGTTGATAAAATGAAAAGTTAAAAATATCACATATTTATATTAGGATGATATTTAAGGTATCGGTTCAACATGTATTCCATATGTTCGAGGGTTAATAAATGGACGTCAGATTTAACTAATGCTATAAGGTCATCAGTGGAGTTGGTTAAAAATCTTACATATGAAGAAAAATCAATTCGGATCTTGGATAGGAAATGAATAGATTATGTGCAGAAAGTCTATTTTGCTAGTTAAAGTTTGTTGGATAAATCACAAAAAAAACCAACTGAATTTCGAGGACGAAATTCATATATATATATATATATAAAAGGTTAGGCGGTGGAATTGGATTGACTTTTATATCAATCCAATTCCATACAAATCAAAACTCATTTTCATAATACACAGGTGAGAGAAGCCAAGAATGGAGAGAAAGAGAGAAAGAAAAGGAGAAAAAGAAAGGAAAAAAAAAGGAGAAGAGGAGGAAAAAATAATCTGAAAGTTCACCTATGTTGTTAGAAAATAAGTGATCTACATTATTAGGCTTGAATTTCTTAATTTTGAAATGTAAATAAAAAGTTATTTATTGTCAAGTTATGTTTGATTTTATAGTTATTAGATTGTTAGATTAAATTTAATTTTATTGAAGGGGTTAAGTATAATAAACTATGAAATTGAGTAAGATGAAAGAAAAACTAGTTTTAATGATTAAAGAGACTTTAGAAATCGCTTAAACGTGAAATGATTAAGTTTGGAGATCGCATATTTAATTATTGAAATTATTTAAAATAATTAATTGTTTATTTAAAAATTATATCGTATTTCAGGTGACGATACTGACATCAAAACAGCTTACCAATCGGGTTGATTTTGCGAACATAGTATTGTGAGTAGAAAAATATAAATATTTTTAGAGTATTTAGAAATTAAGTCTATTATCAAAGTATGTGCAAATATGTATTCGATTATGTTACATGTGGAATCTTAAAGATTATTTATGGCACATTTATGACTTGATATGTAAGACATGTGATATTGAGATTTGTTTGGTATGTGAGATATGCAATATTGAGATCGGTCAGAAAAGTACTCGTAATTATATATTTCTTCTAATTCACAAAGGGGCCTTGACCGTGTTATGTCCTACACAGAGGGTCTTGATCGGATATTGGTCTCGACCGTGTACATATAGTTTACAGATGGGCTTTGACCGTGTTCTAGAATTAATTACCAGAGGTTTTTGAGACTGATTTTCGTTCACGGAGGGAGCCAAAGGCCTGTGGCGAAACTGCCTAGCTCGAGGGGCAGATTACAAATTTTAGTCAGAGAGTACATTTTTGGTGGATCACATGTGATGTGATAAGTTGATGACTATATCGTGATTATGAGATGATATTTACAGTGTTATAAGAATGACTTACTTTTTGCTATAATTGTATGAGTTTATCATGTGAATATTAAACGATATGAACTGAATGTTTGGTAAAAATGTTTAAAGGAGAAAGTATAATTATTTTTGAACTCTTTCACTCACTGAGTTATAAACTCATATATTTTTCCGTAATTTTTCTACAGGTGGAAATTGATTCTTTTTAGCTGGAAGAGCCTAATGATTTCGGAATGAGAGTCACATGACATGTTGAGTGTTATAACTCATTTTGATGTAGCACGAAGTAAATAATTTGGGCACATCGCATTATGTTTTACATAAACATTTGATTTTTGTTGCATTTTTTGAAATAATTTATAGTTAGTTTTGGTGATAGATTTGACATCTAATCAGCATCTATCATAGGCGCATGTCATGTTTCGGGTCCACTAGAGTGATTCGAGACGGACGGGTTGTGTCATATCTTTCACCTTATGGTGCAACAATATCTTGTGCTAGATGGTTTACCTAAAAACATTCATTGTAGAAGTTGACTCATGAAGATCCGCTCATATTCTCGAATGCGGAGCACTAATGGTTGGAATATAAGGTTGTTGTCCTCTATTTGCTACCAAACACATTTTTCATGTTTATGTATTTTTCCTTTCTCTTAATTATAGTGCCACAAAAATAAATTTACTTTTCACTTCCAATAAATATATTTATATTTTAATCCCATTTAATCATAATAAGACAATATTAAATAAAAAATATTTCGACCATTTAACCATATTAACACAATGAATTGAATTTATATATAAAAAAAATTAAAAATATTTTCAATCATACGTCAATATTCTTTTTTTTTCCCACAAAATTTTAGGGTCATAATAGTAATATCCAAACTTTACGGAGGTGATTGTAATTTCCCAATGAATATGATGAATATCCATTAACCGACTGAGAACCTTCTTCTACCTTGCTCCTCAAGCAAAGAAAACGAGTCCCTTTATTCTTAACAAACGAAAAAAGAAAAAAGTTTCAAATTTGTCCAACACCGAAGCAAAAAATGGCTCTGCAATGGGTGATTCTGACATACGTGGTGGCAGCGGAGGCAGCTGTCGCAATTCTTTTGACACTGCCATCACCAAAGGCTTTGAAATCTAGCATTGTATCGCTTATCTCGCTTATTCTCCAGCCTTTACTCTTTATCATACCATTCGCCGCTTTTCAGCTCCTGGGTAAGTATATTTTGTTTAACCTTTTAAATGGTTTTGTGAATTTTCGGATTTTGGGTGTTGATATTTGAAATGGGTTTTTTATGATTTTTGTTTATGTGGATTTGTAATAGATATATACTGGAAGAATGAGCATCGATTGATGTGTACTGGGGAGATCTGCACTGCTGCTGAGAGGGATCGCTATGAGAAATCGGTAACAATTTTGGTTATCATTTTATATTTTTGTATTTTATATTTTCTTGGGCTGGTTTCATTAGTATTTGTAAATGATAAAATTGAAAGTAATTTGAATGTGGGTGAAAAATTTATTGTTAATTACTGGAATACTAGTTTGCCCTGTATGTAGAATAGAATAAATATGTAGAATAGAATAAATTTATTGTTCATTGTTTATAAACATTGAGAAGATTAGGAGCACGCTTGGCTTAGCTTAAAAGCTAAAAAGAAGCCGTTTTAAGTGAGGCTAAACATATTGGATTTCACGTAGATCCCTGACTCAGCTTACATTATGAAGGCTATTTTGGGAATTTTATTTATTTTTTTTTTTCTGTTGGCTTCTTGTTAATCAGTTTTGTATTTGTCAATTTTCTATTGGTTGAGTTTGTTATGTATAGAAAGGTGATTATTCCTTCTATCGTGGTCATAGGCTGTACATAAATAGGCTGGTTCCTTTGTATATATTTTCATTTCGATTCTGATGATTACAATGGAGAATTCCCAAGTTCATATATCATTTTCTTTCTTCTCTAACTTTCATATTTAAATTCTTATATGGTATCAGAGCAGGTGAACCAAATCAACCATGACTACAGAAATTCCTTCCACAGATTCTTCCCCTACATCTCCATCCAAAATTTCTAACCCCTTCCTCAATTTCACCGATGTCACCAATCCTTACCGTCTTGACCATGGTGATAATCCATCAATCTCTCTTGTTCCTGAACTTCTTACAGTTGACAATCACACTACTTGGTCTAGGGCAATGCGTAGAGCCCTTAGAGCCAAGAACAAATTAGGCTTCATCAGTGGTGCTATCACCAAGCCAACTACTTCAGACGACCCTTTGTTTGAGGCCTGGGAACGTTGTAATGACCTTGTGACCTCCTGGGTGCAGAATTCCATCTCCCCATCAATCAAGTCTAGCATAGCTCTTGTGGATGATGCTGCTGAGCTGTGGGATGAACTGAAGGAGCGGTTTACTCAGCAAAATGGTCCACGAATCTTCCAACTTAAGAAAGCCCTTTCAAGTTTGCAACAGGAGCAAGATTCAGTAAGTGTTTATTATGGGAAGTTGAAATCAATTTGGGATGAGCTCAATATGTTCGACCCTTTGCCTGACTGCACCTGTGGAAAGTTAACTACACTTTCTAACAGATACCAAAGGGATTGTGTGATATAGTTCTTGATGGGTTTAAATGATTCATACACGAACTCACGAGACCAGATTATGCTCCTTGATCCTTTACCCTCAATTGGGAAAATTTTATCCATGATCCAGCAACAAGAAATGCAGCACCTGATGCTTAACAACCTACCATCACCTAATTTGATGGGCTTAGCCAGTAGGAAGTTTCATCCCATTTCTAAACCAAGTGTTAAGACTGGCCAACCCAACAACCGTGACCGTCCTTATTGTACTCACTGTCATGCACCAGGGCATGATCTAGAGGCATGTTTTAAAGCAGGGAATGCCGAGCCACCAATCTGTACTCATTGCCATATGAGTGGTCATGTAGTTGGGAAGTGCTACAAACTTCATGGGTATCCACCTGGGCATAAGTACTTCAACAAGGGAAAATCTCCCAGACTTTTTGCTAATGCTGTCATTGCAGATCAAGAGGATGATTCAGATTCAAGAGTTGGTCTTACAAAGGGACAGTATCAACAATTGCTTTCTCTGTTGCAGCAAAAGGACAGTCCAATAATGCCTTCTATGTCCACCAATCCATCCAAGACAGCTTCTCATCCTGTAGCTAATGCAGCAAAGGCCCCTACCATGTTTGGTATATCTATCTTTTGTTCCACTTCTTCTCAAAGACTCTTATTCTCTGCCGAAACACCTTGGATTATCGACACAGGTGCTACAGACCACATGGTCTGCAGCATCTCCTTGTTTACTACCATCAATTCAGAAGTATCTTATTCTGTCAAGATGCCAAATGGTGATGAAGCACTTGTCACACACGTAGGAACAGTTCATATCACTGGAAAACTCGTTCTAGAAAATGTTTTATGTGTCCCGTCTTTTACATTTAACTTGATTTCTGCTAAAAGACTTGCCCACTCACTTACTTGCTGCCTTATTTTTTTTCTGATTGCTGTTTCCTCCAGGACCTTTTGTCTTGGACAACGATTGGGAAGGGTAAAGTGAAGAATGGACTCTATCAATTGCAGCATTCTAAAGTGTCTCCTGAAGCTCTTGTTGACAACTTTTCTAAGTATTTAAATAAGAATATCTTTGTTTCCACTTCTGTACTTGACAATAGTTCTTCCATAGATCTTTGGCATTATAGACTTGGCCATACACCTTTGTCTAGGATATCTTTGATCGATGATCCTGTTGTAAGTACTGAAATTACTGACATTAATGAAAATCCTTGCTGCATTTGTCCCATGGCTAAACAACATCGCCTTCCTTTTCCTACCAGCACACATATGAGCACCAGAATGTTTTAACTTATTTCTTGTGATATATGGGGGCCTTGTTCTGTTCCTGCACATGATGGATCCAAGTACTTTCTTACCATTGTGGATCATTTCTCTCGAAGTACTTGGGTCTATTTACTAAAAACAAAATCTGAAACTCGCCACTACATAGAGACTTTTTGTAACCTTGTTGAGAACCAGTTTGATGTCAAAATCAAAATCTTAAGAAGTGATAATGGGGCAGAGTTTAAAATGACAGATTTCTTTTGTAAAAGGGGTATTTTGCATCAAACAAGTTGTGTGGAAACACCACAGCAAAATGCTATTGTTGAACGTAAGCACCAGCACCTTTTAAACATTGCGAGAGCACTTAGGTTCCAAGCTTCACTTCCTATGAAGTTTTGGAATGAATGCATTTTAACTGCTGCTTACATTATCAATAGAATCCCTTCTCCTGTGCTGTCAAATAAAACCCCCTTTGAGTTACTTTTCAATAGAAAACCAACCTATGGTCACATGAAAGTATTTGGTTGCTTGTGTTTTGCTTCAACTATTTCACAAGGCAGAACTAAATTTGATTCCCGAGCTAGAAAATCCGTCTTTCTTGGCTATCCTTTTGGTGTTAAGGGATACAAGTTGTTTGACCTTGATACCAAGACCTTTTTCATCTCATGAGATGTTGTTTTTCATGAAATAGTCTTCCCCTTCCACACCATCACACTTGACAACCTGCCGCCAGAAACTACTAATAACAATAATTTCTGTCAACTTTCTCCTCAACCATTTCCTTTTAATGTTGAGCAGATTAATTCAGATTTTTCTCCTTCTCAATCTTCAAACTTAACACCTTTAGATCCTCCTTCTACTCCTGTCTTCATTAATAGCCCTGTTCAAACTTCTGAGGTAGTTGCTTCCTCTCCTACTTCTGATTTACCTCATACTACAGAAGAAATCACCCAAGAACAATCACCTATCCGCAAGTCAACAAGAGTTAGAAGAGCACCACAGTACCTGCAGGACTTTCATTGTCAACAAGTGCACTTCACTTCTCCAGACCAATCATTGACCAGGCAATTGTCTTCCAATACAGGTACAAATTTTCCTTTAACCAATTCCTTATCATATCATCGTTTATCTCGTAATTATGATGCTTTTTCAACTTCTATTTGCTCTCAAATTGATCCTCAAACATATCATCAAGCTGTTAAGGATCCGGGTTGGTGTGAGGCTATGAAGGCTGAATTGGATGCTCTTGAACTCAATCAGACTTGGGAATTAACTGATCTGCCACCTGGTAAGGAACCAATAAAGTGTAAGTATGTTTACAAGACCAAATTTAATTCAGATGGGACGGTTGAAAGGTTAAAGGCCAGATTAGTGGCCAAGGGCTATACACAACAAGAAGGGATTGACTATCACGAAACTTTTTCTCCAGTAGCCAAAATGGTCACAGTTCGTTGTCTCCTTGCACTTGCTGCCATACATGGCTGGCATTTGCAACAATTTGATGTTAATAACGCTTTCCTTCATGGGGAGCTAGAAGAGGAAATTTATATGTGTAAACCCCCTAGTTATAACAAAGGAAAACCCGAACAAGTGTGCAAACTGTTCAAAAGCTTATATGGCCTTAAGCAGGCATCTCGCCAATGGTACTCCAAATTTTCAGACTCACTTATACACTTTGGTTTTCAACAGTCCAAATCAGATTATAGCTTATTCACTATGATCAAAGAAGATGTTTTTACTGCCTTATTGGTTTATGTGGATGATATTGTGGTTGCTAGTAACTCCATTGATTGTATTAATTCTCTCAAAGTGTTCTTGAATACTGAGTTTAAGATTAAGGATCTTGGTGCCCTTCGTTATTTCCTTGGTATTGAAGTGGCAAGATCCATAAAAGGGATTCATTTATGTCAACGGAAGTATACACTTGACATACTAGCAGATTCAGGTACCCTTGGTTCCAAGCCAGCTAAACTTCCCATGGACCAAAATATCAAGCTTAGCAAAGAATCAGGGTGTATTCTTTCTGATCCAAGCATTTATAGAAGACTTGTAGGAAGGTTATTGTATTTAACTATTACAAGACCTGACATTAGCTATTCGGTGCAAGTACTCAGTCAGTTCATATCTAAGCCAACTGATCTTCACCTACGAGCTGCCCACAAAGTACTGAAATATCTAAAAGGTAGTCCTGGCCAGGGTATTTTACTTTCTTCTTCATCCCCTTTGCAATTAAATGGCTACTGTGATTCTGATTGGGCTTCATGTCCAGACACTCGACGCTCTATCACTGGCTTCTGCATTTTCTTGGGCAACTCTCTTATATCTTGGAAATCTAAGAAACAATCAATTGTTTCTCGCTCATCTGCAGAAGCGGAGTATCGGGCAATGGCAACAACTGTTTCTGAGTTTACTTGGATTAAACAATTGTTAAAAGATCTGCATATTTCTCATTCGTCTGCTGCAATTCTTCACTGCGACAATCAAGCAGCTTTGCATATTGCTGCCAATCCAGTATTCCACGAACGTACTAAACATATAGAGGTTGATTGCCATCTCATTAGAGACAAAATTCAGGAAGGTAGTATCATCACAGCTCATGTACCAACTCATTCACAACTGGCCGACATCTTCACTAAGGCTCTCTCTTCTTCTGTTCTTACTACTCTCCTCTCCAAGATGGGAATAGTAAATATCTATTCTCCATCTTGCGGGGGGGTATTGGATTTCACGTAGATCCCTGACTCAGCTTACATTATGAAGGCTATTTTGGGAATTTTATTTATTTATTTTTTTTCTGTTAGCTTCTTGTTAATCAGTTTTGTATTTGTCAATTTTCTATTGGTTGAGTTTGTTATGTATAGAAAGGTGATTATTCCTTCTGTCGTGGTCATAGGCTGTACATAAATAGGCTGGTTCCTTTGTATATATTTTCATTTCGATTCTGATGATTACAATGGAGAATTCCCAAGTTCATATATCATTTTCTTTCTTCTCTAACTTTCATATTTAAATTCTTATAAAACATGCTCTAGAGTCTTTAATGTAATTGTATAGTTGAGGTATATATCTTGCAAAGTAATCCATTTAACAAACAGATAGCCCAGTTTGGTTTGACTGGTTTTTGAAGTTTGATTCTCTAGTCTTCTATTGCTTGAAGTTGTCGGTCGATGTTTATTTCGATCATGACTTGTACTCTCCTAAACTATAGGTCCGTAGACGTTATTCCCCTGTCAGTACCATTGGCTGAGTTTTGAATTAACTGTTGTGAGACTTTCTCTGCTGGTACACATGCATTGAGATGAGGAACATCATAGATTGTGGTTTCTAAGTGTATAAACTCCAATTTAAATTTTGAAAGAGAAAAAGGTCCGTTAGATTTTTGGAATAGGTTAGCTCTCCGTTCCAATCCCCCTACACCAATGAAAAAGTTTGAAAAACCAAAAGGACCAAGAGGTTTTATGAAAGCACCCTTAGACTAGTATGGATCCAGAAATATGCTATTCTGGAATTTGAAAATTTAGAATAGCATTCGTTCAATGTCCGTGTCAGGTAGAGAACTTATTCTCCATTTTTGGTCTTAAATTCTCTTACCAGACAACTTCATTCTCCATTTATCCCCCCTTTTTGGTTAAAAAACTGAATCCTAAACCAAATTATAACAAAATTAGATGGGAGCTTGGCAACTTTAGCTGTATTTTGTCATCCATCAAAAGATAGATCTTGATAACACGTATCCTCTCTTTTTTTAAGCTATGTTATCCTTTGTGTGTGACTTGATGGTGGTCGTCTATGGCTTTACGTGCTACCTGTTATCTACCATTTGATCCCAAATGCTTGATAAGTATGGCCAATATTGCTGATGACGGGGTAAAGGAGTTATAACTGTACCGTACCATTTGATCCCCAGTGTTTGATAAGTAAGTCAAATATCATTGATGGCAGAATCTTTAATATGTTAAGATTCATAAATCAGTTCGTTTATTCTGGATGACATTTGTTTCCATATTTCTCTTTTTAATCCAACTCCGTTGATATTTACATCTTTGTTTTTTTCCTTATTCAAGATTTCTTTATGACTTTCAAATCCTATTGATTTGTTCTAAACAGCTGTATATCATTTTTGAAAGTACTACTCTTTCTGATATAGACGCTGATTCAATACACTAAGAATTTTTACTATTGGCAATAAGCATATTATTATTTCAGAAAATATTATGTATACATAGACTTGTGATTTGTATTCACAGAGCATGTTATAATACGGAAATTACATTTGGGAAACTCGTGTTGTGAATGCTGCCTAATAAATCTCCCAAGAGGTACCTAGAAATTACAAGTCTTCAGCATAAATCTAATAGCTGATTTCCTATGCTTTGTGATGGCATCATCTATCTTTAGCTTTTTCCGGGGAATTTATTAGCATAGACAGTGGAATCGCTATATTGTGTCTGTGACATGATGCTATTTTTATTACTCTATTGATGTTTTAAGCCTGTAGCATTAGGCCATCGGTTGCCTGTGCTTTTTATCAATTTGTGGTGTTGGGTGTGTGATGTAGATCTACAAGGCTCAGAGGAACGTTGTTCTATGCATTGCTGCGTGCCTCCTTTATTGGTAAGTGACCAGCACGTCCGACTACCTTATCTTCATATACAAGTATCTAGCCTTGTTTTTCACTAATTTTATGTGCTATCTCCTTTTAATGTTCATGCAGGTGCATCTACCGTATTTCCAAATTATACAGGGAGATTCAAATAAAGGAGGAATCCGAGAAGCGTTTAAAGGACGAGTAGATTCTCTTATGGCCTCATCTTCTGCCAAAACCTGTGGAGCGGACTGACAAGGCTAGCTGTAGCTTAATGGAAGAGGAAGAGCAAAGTTTTCTCTAATGATAGATATGTTTAATTTTCGTGTATCTACAACTGCTGTCTTCTATATGAATGTTTATTAGCATCTCGTTTTACTCTTATATGATTTATGAAGCGATGCGACTTGAATAAGAATGAAGAAATTAGAACCCTAACATCTATTAAGTCCTCACAATTTTTAGAAGTGTCAAGCTGTATAAAATAGTATCATATAACAGTAGTTAGTCCTGTCAAATAGAAAACTTGTTAGGGTTATGTTACTTTGACAGAGAGTGGTTGATAGATGGAGTGACATAATGTAATTTGGTAATATATAATTGGATGAAAAAGTTGACTATGTTTAAAACAGTCCAATGATAAAGTGTCGTGACATTATGTCAACTATTATGTTGCTTTAGCATGATTCGAAAGCAGAACTATTTGCACTTCGTTTAACAAAGTTCTGTACGGTTCTCCTATCCTCGTGGACTACATTCTTTTTCTTTTACGAAGAAGAAGACGGAAGTAGTATTTCACATATATATCCTTTATAAACAGTGCCAACAAATAAGCATTCTAATACTCAAGTTTAAAACAAACCACAATTTGGTACATTCCACAAAATGACAAGAGCTTGCATTAAAACATGGTAAGGAAGTTTACTCCCATTGCGATAATTGGACATATTATTTAGGTATTGAAACAAAAGCACCTATATGCAAACGCTCGCACGAAATCATTGATACTCGAGAAAAAACTTTTACACAGTTGAACATATCGTGTCTTACACTTTCATGGAGTGTTTAAATTCGTTTAGTATTGACGCAGAACGTAAGTAAGAAAAAAAAACAAAAGATTTACCAACTTAAATCTTGAAAATAAGAAAATTGGAATTCTCCAAGAATCAAACTTGTATATTCTTCAATGATGACAGAAAACGTTCCAAAAGCCATTAAATAGGCGTTACAAGAAACCCTAAAATATAGAAAAAAAAAAATAAAACGTTCCAAAAATAGCGAAAATTCAAAACGGGAAATACGGAAATTAATTATTCGGAGGCCTAAACGAAGGAATTTGGCTAAAATTCCGAGATCTCGGAATCCCGAGTCCAATTTTTCGGGCCGTTTCCAATCAACCTGCTAAATTTCAACTCATTTCGACACCGTCACGACAAATGACAAAATTACCCTTGGTGCGATTTTTCTTTGTTAATTTTCTGTTCAACACTTCTTCAAATTCCAAAGCTAGTTGTCCTATATCAATCTCCCCCACCTGTGAAGAACTCGACCCTAAGTTATATTCTGGATAGAGTGGAACATCATTACGAAACTCATACAGATCAGCCACATTGAATGTGCGAGAGATGTTCATACTAGTAGGCAGGTCGATCACATATGCATTGTCATTGATCTTCTTGATCACCTTGTATGGCCCATATTTTCTCGGCTTCAGCTTGTTGTAGGAACCAACAGGAAATCATTCCTTGCGCAGAAACACCATCACTTGATCACCTTCCACAAATAGTTTCTCATGCCTCTTGCTGTCTATTGCAGCCTTATACTTCGCATTTTTTTCCTCCAACCAAGCCTTCACTTCCGTCTGAACATCACGAGCTTGTTCAGCAGCCACATTGGAACCAGCAACCTTAGGGAGGCGAGCCAAGTCCAATGCATGTTTAGGAGGCTTCAAATACTCCAAAGAGAAATGGGATCTACCAGTGGTAGTGTGGATTGCATTATTATACGCGAACTCGGCCTACGCCAGCGCCACATCCCACTACTTTAGCTTATCACCACAAATGCTGCGTATCAAATTCCCCAGTGTCCTGTTCAGATTTTCGATCTGCCCATCAGTCTGCGGGTTTCTGTGCTACTGAACTTCAGAGTAGTATCCACCCGCCGTCAAAGTGTAACCCAAAAATGACTAAGGAATTTCGAGTCCCTATCAGAAGTGATGGACTGAGGGACTCCATGCAACCAAACCACTTCACGAAAGAATAGCTGAGCTACGTGAAAAGAATCAGACATTTTTCGGCATGGGATAAAATGCTCCATTTTGGAAAACCTGTCAACCACAACAAATACATAATCTAGCCCACGTTGAGTTCGAGGTAGCCCCAAAACAAAATCCATCGACAAATCTTCCCATATCCCATTTGGTACAAGTAGAGGCATGTATAGACCAGTATTCTGAGCTTGCCCCTTTGAAGTCTGACATACATAACACTTACGGACCAAATTTCCCACGTCACGCTTCAACTGAGGCCAATAATATCGCTCGGCTACCCCACTGATAGTTTTATCACGTCCCAAGTGACCACTCAAGCCGCCACCATGTAGTTTTCGTATCAGTTTCTCCCTCAAAGAACTCCGCGGAATACACAACTGGTTGCCATGGAACAGGTAGTCATCAACTATATGGAACTCGTCATCTGTTTGTTTCAGAACACACTTTCCCCTCACTTCCACGAAATCCTCATCTTCCACATATAAGTCTTTCAGATACTCAAAACCAATAACCTCCTGCTGCATGGTTACCAACAAGCTTGCACGCCAGCTCAAGGCATCTGCTACCTTATTCAAAACTCCAGATTTATGCTTCAGAACAAATAGGAATTTCTACAAATAAGTCGACCACCGAGCATGCATGTTACTTAAATTTCTCTGGCTGTTCAAGTACTTCAAAGCCTGATGGTCGGTGTAGAGTATAAACTCCCACTGAATCAGGTAGTGCTCCCAATGTTTCAAGGCCCGAACAATTGCAGAGAATTCTTGGTCATATGTACTCCACTTTCACCGTGCATCACTAAGTTTCTCGCTGAAAAATGCCACTGGCTTCTTCTCTTGTGACAAGACCGCTCCGACCCCAATTCCACTAGCATCACACTCTACTTCGAACAACTTCTCAAAACTGGGCAGTGTAAGGACAGGAGTGGTACACAATTTCTCCTTGATGACTGCAAAGGCTGTTCTAGTTGCTTCACCCCACTGGAATTTACCTTTCTTCAGACACTCTGTAATGGGAGCCACAATGCTGCTGAAATCCTTGATAAATCTCTGGTAAAATGTCTCCAATCCGTGAAAACTTCTTACTTCTCTAATTGTCTTCGGTGTAGGCCAATCACGAATGACTCTCACCTTTTCCTCGTCAACCATTATCCCCATGGAACTGACTACATACCCCAGGAATAAAAGTCGCTCTGTCCACCAACTACACTTCTTTAAATTAATGAACAATTTGTTATCTAACAACACTGCTAGCACAGCTCGAAGATGCTTCATGTGTTCCTCCTCACTACGACTATAAATCAGTATATCATCAAACTAAACCACTACATATTTTCCAATGAAAGGCTGCAATACCTGGTTCATAACTCGCATAAAAGTACTTGGCGCGTTGGACAGCCCGAAAAGCATCACCAACCATTCATAGAGCCCATCCTTAGTTTTGAATGCTGTTTTCCATTCATCCCCAGGTTTAACTCGAATCTGGTGGTACCCACTTCGAAGGTCGATCTTGGAGAACAACTTCAAACCATCTAGCATATCCAACATGTCATCCAGTCTTGAATTGGGAAGCTATACCGAACAGTGATTTTATTAATCGCGCGATTATCAACGCACATCCTCCAACTGCCGTCTTTCTTTAGGACCAATAATGTAGGCACAGCGCAAGGGCTCATGCTCTCACGAATAAACCCCTTCTTCAGTAACTCCTCTACCTTCTCCTGCAAAATTTGATTTTCCTTCGGACTCATCCGGTAATGAGGTATATTCGACAAACTTGCTCCAGGCACCAGTCAATACTGTGTTGAATGTCTCTCAAAGGTAGGAGGTCATCTGGTAACTCATCAGATACTTGCTCGCTGATTTCATCCAAAAGGGATTGCACCGCTCCTGGTATCACCATCTCAGGTTGATTTTTCTCTTCTATCACGAGGGCTCGTACTACCACCACATGGACCTCCTGTGCTTCCTTCACCTCTGACTCGAAATCAGCTACTGAAGTTACTAAAGAAAGTAGAAGTTGACCTTCTGTAGTAACCATAGTAGGGACAGTTGGGTTTCGTTTTGGGACCATGGCATTTTTTTTACCCTTCCAATTGAAAACATACACATTATCACGCCCCCTATAAGCCACATCCACGTCAAACTGCCAAGGACGCCCCAACAACACATGGTTAGCATCCATGTCGACAACATCGCAAACCACTTCATCTCGGTAGTGCTGGCCAATTGAGATAGGGACTTTACACACTTCCGTCACGCTCACCTTAGACCCCTTCTGAATCCACCCAATCACATAAGGTTTCAGAAGCTTCTCAACTTGCAACTTCAGATGCTCCACCAGCCTCTTGGACACAAAGTTCTCACAACTACCAGTATCGATAATCAAATCATAGACCTTACCTTGCACACTGCAACAAGGCTTAAAAATATTATTTCTCTGTGAGGACTCCTCTACCTTTGTTGAGCACATGACACGTTGAACCACACAGTTTACGAATTCTCCCTGCTCTTCTGCAATTTCTGCTCCATCCAATAGTTCCTCCACTTCAGCCCCTTCCTCCACATACTGCTCCTCTTCACCATCCTCTCCAGCATCCACAAAATTCACTGACCTCCTAGCTGGACATTCATTTGAGCGATGACCCAATTGACCACATCTGTAGCACTTAAAACTAGCAGGTTTAGTATATGGATTTGGCACTCGCGGGGCTTCCTTTACAACTGTTGCTGGGCGAGTCCCAGCTTGGTTATTATTGGGGGCAGCACTTCTTAGGGGCCTGATCAGCAACAGACTTAAAAGGAGTCTGGACTTCACCAGAAGTGAATCTGCCTCTATTCGCCGTTGTGTAAGACGACTCACCCATGTCCTTCTTATAGTTGGAAAAATGAGCGGACGTTTTCTCCATCAATTCTGCTTTCAGCGCCAGGTTATGCACCTCATCTACTGTCCACACCACATGCAGTCCAATCTTATCTCAAATGGATGGCTTTAATCCTCCCAAATACCTGGAAACCTATTGCGCCTTTGACTCGCTTAGATTATTCCGAACAGAAAGTCTGGATCATTCCTCAGTATAGTTTGCAACTGATTTGTTTCCCCGTACACAATTCTGGAAATTTTGAAATATGAACTGTTCATAATCAGGTGGCAAGAATCTGCTCATCATAAGTTGTTTCATCCGCCTCCAAGATCAGATAGGTGCCTTGCCCCGACGTCCCCTATCTATCTGCAACCGTTCCTACCAAATAGTAGCCCCACTTCTCAATTTATACACTACCAATTTCACCTGTCGTTCCTTCATAACCTCAGTAATATCAAAGAACCTCTCCACCTCAGAAATCCAATCCAAAAATTCTTCGATCTGCAATTTTCTATGGAACAATGGTATGTCTGCCCGAATCCTATAATCAGACTGATTCCGATTTAGTTGTGGATTTTTCGGGTGTTCAGCAAATTCGTCCTCAGAATCCACATTGCTGAAATCTTCAGGTTGTCTGTTTCTTGCAACCCTATGAGGATGCTCGCCACCAGGTCGACCATTGGCATCTTCCTCACCCAGGGCCGGAACATTGACAGGCAGAGGGTTTGGTTGCTGCTCCAACAAACGCTGAACTATAGCCTCCAACCTCCCCATCGATTGTCGCTGTTTGTCAATTGCCGCCCACAGTTCCGCATCCGTTTCCTTGCGACCAGTGTTGCGAGGATGAACTCTTCCTCCGTCGTTGTTGTGGGCCACTGAAGAACAAGGGAAATCCTCACTTTGATACCACTTGACGCAGAACAGAAGTAAGAAAAAAAAACCAAAGATTTACCAACGTAAATCTTGAAAATAAGAAAATTGGAATTCTCCAAGAATGAAACTTGAATATTCTTCAATGATGACGAAAAACGTTCCAAAAGCCATTAAATAGGCGTTACAAGAAACCCTAAAACATATAAAAAAAAATAAAACGTTCCACAAATAGCAAAAATTCAAAACGGAAAATACGAAATTAATTATGCGATTTTTCTTTGTTAATTTTCTGTCCAACACTTCTTCAAACTCCAAATCTAGTTGTCCTATATCAAGTACATATAGCACTTGATATATGTTTGAGAATTCTAATAAAGGATTTCGTGCCAGAGCAAGGTAAAATTGAACTTAATCCATTACCAAAACTTAATAGGATCAATGAAGGTTCCTAGTTGTTTAAAAGGTAAAATCTTTGCTAAGTTTTATATTGTAATTGACGATTCTGTTAACAAAAGAGACTAAATTGAACATGTCGTAGAAGTCAAGAACTTGGGTCGCAATTTGTATTGATGGTTTAGGCTAGGGTTGAGTTTGGAACAAGGTAGATGCTCGCCAAGTTGTTGCTCGAGCGGATGAAGCAAAACCATCGTTGCCCGATTGGGACCCTTGTGCCGCTCGAGCAAAGAAGTTGTCGCTCGCTTCTCGCTAGAGTGTTGCTCAAGCGACAGTGTCACGTGGCCAAACCCTAGGTCGCGATTTGAAGAATTTTAAACGGCCCATGACATCTATTTGCCACCAACTATAAATACTAGAGTCATGGACGGTTTTTCTTGAGGTTGCTTCGATGCATAACACATTCATCTTTGAGATCCAAGAACGCAATTCATCGATGGAATCATACACGTTCATCTTATGATCCAGCAACTGTCTTTTGGAGAAAACATCAAGGTGCAATAATCTAAAACATTACGCTTCATTAATCTGTTGAAGAAGGGATTTTCTCATTAAAGGATTGAGAGAGGTGAATTAAAGCACAGTTACAAGCACAAGAACAGGCGGTTCTTAGTGTTTCACTTTGAGAGACATTTAGCGTAAGACCAAGAGGTTGTAGGAGACAACAGATTGGACTGTAGGAGGTAGATCAGGAAGTCTAGCACAAGGCTCGAGGTATTTGCAGCAGTAGATCGTGAGACTGTGACAGTGAATCTTAGTAGGTATAAGCATTAGAATTACTGTGCATTCTTGAACTGTCTATAGTGGATGCAATTGGTTTGGTCCCGAAATTTTTCTCATGTTGGGCTTCTCCATTATCAAATATTTTGTGTTTTTTACTTTCCAGCAAATTATTACAAGACGCGGTATTCAAACATAGAGTTAATTAAATTTTATGCTTAATCATCTAGAAACTAATTAAAAGTGACTTGTTTGGTGTAATTGATCTATTTCGCACGTAAGGTCAAATTAATCGGTAATTTGAAATGTAAACTTGGTAATCTTAAAAGTTGAATCAGCGTGTAACATCATAGCCCGAACTCTCAATCTTGAATCAGATATTTTTTTTTTTTTTTAATTATATCTATTCTTATCTGTACCACGTTTGCACGCACAGTAGAGTCATGGCCTACGGGTAAAGCTGAAAAAAGTGGGTCCACTTCAGATCCTGTGAGTTCCATCAGACCCGAATATTCTCTGGGTTCCCCGCGAAGATCCAATAGCATATTCGAATAATCCATAACCAATAATTCTCTTCCTAATCATTTAATTTTTACATAATTTGTTAATCTTTTCTTTGCCATTAAGAGGCGGATTTTATGAGTAGCCAAGTAATAGAGAAATCAGATCGAAGTGTTGTTAATAATTAAGACTAAGATTGCAAAATCGATAAATAATGCAGAATTAATCAAAAGACAAATACTTACAATGCTCCGTTGAATAAAAATAATATTTTAAGAAAGACTCTCAAAATTCATAAGGTAAAGAAGAATAAGATAATCGATTTATACCTCAAACGAGCATTCAGATTTCAAAATTAACGTGATTGAATGAGTCACCATCTTAAACGGATATGATACTAATAAAACACCTGACCTTTCACGATGAATCGAAGTAATTTTGTAACATAATTCTGTGTAGTATTAAAACTTTTTTGTCCTTTCTTAGTCAACCAATCCTTTTTGTGTTGGAATTTACTTCAAAATTATGTGTTACTGCACCTCTCTCGCTTGGCCATCACCTCTTTCCCTATATCTGGGTTTGTGCGCGCCATGTAATTACACTTTCATGAAAAACCAAGCTCTAATAAGAAAATAAAAGAAAAAAAAGACGAACTTTTTTTATTTCCTTAATTTCTATTTCTCTATTAATTTGATTCCTCATCTTTGAAATTTTCACAGAGCCATGGCTAGTTTCGACAACAAAACCATGGTTCTGTGCCTTTGGTTGGCAATCAACTTTTTGTCAACAGTTTCTTCAGAGCTTCCTCGATTTGAGCATCCAATTAGAGGCGATCAGAGGCTCAAATTCTTCGTTATTGGAGATTGGGGAAGAAACGGAGCCTTTAATCAATCTGAAGTTGCTTTTCAGGTACATGGAATTTTTTATAAGATTGAAGTTTTCAGAAGGATTTTCAATTTTTCTTTTAAATTTAAATTTATGTTTAATTTTAATTAATTTGGCAGATGGGAAGAATTGGAGAGGAACTAGATATAGATTTTGTGGTGTCAACTGGTGATAATTTTTATGATAATGGATTGAAGGGGGAGCATGATCCAGCATTTATAGATTCATTTACTAATATTTATACAGCAAAGAGCCTGCAAAAACAGTGGTATACTGGTAAGTATTATGATTCGGGATTGTTTATAATTTCGATATTTAATCGATGTGGAATGTATCTTTTAACATGTTTAGTAAGATCGTGGCTCGTTTGAAAATAGCAATTTTGACGTAGGATGTATCTTTTAACATGTTCAGTAAGATTTTTTATTACTTTTGTATGCAGTTTTAGGGAACCATGATTATAGAGGTGATGCATTGGCACAATTGAGCCCAGCACTTAGGAAAATAGACAATAGATGGCTTTGCTTAAGGTCTTTTGTACTCAATGCAGGTAATATTTGGGTCGAACAGTACGGGATAGAATTAACAATGTACCGTCCAATTTTGTGTACTAAATGTCCTGAATTTTTAATTTTAATTAATTAATTATTTATTTTTTTGCAGAAATTGCTGAATTGTTCTTTGTGGATACGAGTCCTTTTGTGAAGGATTATTTTACAATTCCAAATGAACACACTTATGATTGGCGTGGCGTGACACCAATAAAGATCTATACTGAAAATGTATTAAAAGTAAGTGAATTGATTTATTTATTTTTCCATTCTTCTTCTTCTTCTTCCTCCTTTTTTTAATTATTGATTATTAATTAATGCTGCATTTATTGAGGTTGGTGGTTCAGTTTGTCTTCATGTCGATTATATCTATCTATATTCATAAATAAGAGATAATGTGACGAAGGACATTAATGAATCGATGAAGACTATTTGAAACAATCCGTAAGAACAATATTGTAGCTTTTAGATATGGCTGAATACCTTAGGTCAAAAGCTTGGTTGATAGAAAAAGTAAACCCGGGTTTTGTAAATTATTATTATTATTATTATTATTATTATTATTATTATTATTATTATTATTTTAAAATTGATTTTTGAATTGTTTGGTTATTTTTGGCCTTATAGGAACTTGAATCAGCACTGAGGGAATCGACTGCAAAATGGAAAATTGTAGTGGGGCATCACGCCATTAGAAGTGTTGGTCATCATGGGGACACTGAAGAGCTTGTAGAACGGCTGCTTCCAATTCTTCGGGTATTGTTCGAGGAAACAAAATGATATGATTAACGTTGTGCAGTATTATTCGTACTTAACATTAGTCTAGACGATATTTGTAGGATGTAATATTTTCTTGAAATACCTTCGTAATGTTAATTTAACTTTTCAAGGAACTGAATTGTGTTTTCTTGACAAAATTTCAGGCCAACGATGTGGATCTCTACATGAATGGACACGACCATTGTCTTGAACAAATTGGCGATAACCAAAGGTATTTTATTTAAACTTTGTTGTAAATGAATCGTTGAACGTAAAATTAATTATGATTTGATTATTTCATGTATGTCATTCGATTAAATGAAGAAATTGACGTGATAAAATAATTGATGGTCTAGTTAGCAAATAATGATACTTTTACGTCAATTTTTTAGTTAGTCAAACTAACAAACATAGAAGAAGAGAGATGATATTTAAGTTAATTTCAGTCACAGTCATTGTACTTCGACCCAATTTTCAGTTGGGTCTCCATACTTCAATTAGATCAGCATATATAAATTTGTCTCAATTTAGGTCAATCTATTCAATTTCGTCATAGTTTAGGATGTCAAACGGGTCGAGCGGCTCGTGGACGGCTCTGACGAGCCCAAGCTGAGCAGGGGCTCAATCCCATGAGCCATTTCGGCTCGTGGGTTCGTTAAAAAATATGAAATTTTTTTTAAAAAAAAAAAAGTCCAAAAAAGTGCAAATTTACCAAGAAACTAATAATAATAATAATAAATTAAAAAAATCACGAGCTCATGGGCTCAGCTCGACTGGCCCCATGAGCTCGTCTTTCATGAGCCACGAGCTTGGCTCGGGCTCATGAGCTTATGGGTTAAAGGGCCGGTCCATTGTCATCTCTAGTCATAGTGTTTAAGACACTGACGTGTCTATTACAGACCAATGACCATCCTATGTGATTGTCAAAAAATGATATGAAAGAGATGATAAGATCGAGAAAATCATATTACACACTAAAATTGTGGACCAAAGATAATCAAATTAGTAGGTTTTTCGATTAAAAATGAAACTGCAACTGATTTATGTATCTCTGTGTTGCAGCCCAATCCAATACTTGACAAGTGGAGCAGGCTCAAAGGCATGGAGGGGAGATCTTAAAGGACTAAATCGAAGAGACCTCAAGTTTTTCTATGATGGACAAGGTTTTATGTCTGTCCAAATGACACCAAGTGATGTTGAGATTGTGTTTTATGATGTTTTTGGCAAAGTTTTGCACAAATGGACTATGTCCAAGCAGCTTCATGACCTTCATCCGATTATGTAAAATGTAGAGCCAGTCGAGGATATCGAAACCTTGGATAGGTCTAAATTGAAGTACGTAGGTGCTTAAGGTTCGCCCCTTAAAAAACAGTTCAATAGAATTTTGGGTTAAGGAAAATGAAAAGTTGAAGCGATATAGATTCGACTAAAATCTATACTATTCGGGAAGGAAGTTTAAAAACTTCGATGTACATATTTCGGGAATTTTAGTTTCTTCTATTTATCTTGAATTTGATCCTGTTTCATTTCTTTTGTTGTGTTACAAATTGTTAAAAAGTAAAGAAAATTTTTTAAGTTTACGTATAAAATTATTTTATTAAGAGAATGTGTAATTGAAAATGAATTTGGAGAATGAATTGAAATTATGTGCGCTCCGTTCTCACTTTGGTTGGGGTCTCAAAGAAGGAATATAATAGCGGGACAGAGCAGCCATCCTCCACCCTTCATCCTGAGGATTTCTAAGGTGCGAGAATTAAATATACATATTTTCCTCACTATTTACTTATTTATTTCTATTGTTTATATACTATTTAAATTTTTGCAACTTTATCTTAACCTTTAATTTATTACGGTCCCAAATATTTTATTCCTGTGTAGCGGAGCTGCGGAAGGATATATGAATGATTTCCATCTATATATTCATTAGCTGATAAAAAAATTGACTTTGACCACATTTTTAATAATTTTAAAGAAGGTAAATAGTAATTTTACATCTTTCCACGTAAAACAATTATAATTAAATTAAATTAATAGAAAAAAGTAAAAATAGAACTTCATCTTCTTTCCCCCACCTCCAGCAAACCCACCCCACTACGACATTTATGTACCTATCCTTTTTAATACATTTTTATCATTAACAACCTTGCCTGTAATGATGCCTGTAATGATGGTTTTTCTCCAAAAATTATATTGAGATCTATTTGTTGTTTTATTTTTGCTTATTCAAAAATATGAATACCGAATAAATCTTTTTGTTCCTTTTTAACATTTTTTGGGACAAAAACTGTTATTAGATACAAGATTTGCTAATTAATAAAATATTGAGAAAAATATGCGATGAAAAGAGTTGAGGATGATAAAAATGATTAAATATTTCATGCAACTAAAATATGGGGCACTTAGAAAAAAAATATGGTATAAATATATTTATACTTTGTTCAATTCATTGCGTTAAATGCACATTCAATATATCGTACACCATAAAAGATTATGGAAGGTAGCATTAGGAGGGAGAATATTAGGGATGGTTGAATGAGCGTGGAATACGGAGATTGTATTAACGCGGAGTTTGGTGTTATACTGTATTAGAAAAAAAATTAAAAGTATTGACAGATAAAAAAAAATGTATTTCAATATTTTTTACATATAAATAGTTTCTTACTTATATGTTAATTTACTCTTAAGTAATTTTTAGTAAGTGATTTCTTATAACTTATAAGTGAATTTACTCATAAGTAAATTTTTACTTGCACATAAGTATTTACTTAAAAATAACAATTATTAGTTTTTACATACATAATCTTTTTACTTATCAATGATTTTTTACTTATACTTAAAAATCTTTTTTTTTACTTATACAAAACTTTTTGCTTAAAAATTATTTATTACTCATAAGTGATTTTTACTTATACTTAAGTCATTTGCTTTACTAGTTATTTACTTATAAGTAATTTTTTAATACTTATTTATTTATTATTGAATTTTATGCTTATAAGTAAATTTTTTATTTATTGGTTATATTTTATTAGTAAGTGATTTTTTATTTTTTATTTTTGTTTTTTCTGATTTACTCTTGTAAATTAGGTAGTTTTACAAGTACAAAATTTATTTATAATTTACTTATAAGTAAATTATGTAGTTCAATTTAATCATTTTTTTTCTTAATTCGTAAATAGTGTGAAAATAATATGGTTTGAACCTGTCTCATATGACGTAAAAATTTATACAATTGATTAGAGAAGGAAAACCATTCCGATTAATAATCAATTAGTAAGCTGCATTCAAGTGCCAGATGAGGATGAAATAAGATTATATTATCCTTATTAAATCTATTACGGCAAATGCCTGACATGCCCTTAGTACTTTTAGTTTTGTAAAGTACAAATCGTTCCTACATTTCTAATCCTGTCCCATATAGGTACTCGAACTTTCAATTCCTACGCGCACCCCTATATACGTATTTTATGTATACTAAGCACAACCCAACTTCTAATTATGTTTCCATATGTTCCTCCTTTAATAAACCTTTCTCTTAAGAGCTCAAACTTTCAATTCCCTAATCCATACATAATCTAACCAAACGTTACTCGATTTGTGCAAAGGTAATCCATATTTTGCTATAAGCTTCTAGAAATTGATTCTCCGTTTGGCATCATGTTCTTGATATTTACATAGTATTGCAATTTCATCGTGCAATGACCAATCTCGTAGAGAAGTTGACATGGAGAAGCAAATTATATGTAATACGATATGAAAAGCCGAAGTGAATACAGTGGCAGAGGGATTGTGTGTATGAGGCAGTCCCCCTACAACAGTTTTAAAATTTTCTAAAATTGTGAAGTACATTTTTTCACCCCTTAACATTAAAATCTAACTGCCACTACAAGTATGGGCGATGATCAAGTGAATTATAATGTGTTGTTGCAGAAAAACTACATACTGCAGATGTCAAAAACGAAAATAAGGGAGAAGAAGGTCATTTTTAGGCGCTCGTAGAGCCGTAGAAGATCCCAAATGAGGCTTTCTTTTAAGTTACTTATTTAGAGAAGATGCATTGCTAGTGAATGCAGAAGCAGAGGAAGAATTTTTGTGATTATGCATCTACACGCTGAAAATTTTCCTACTAATTCTAATCCCTCTGCAAAAACTCTCAGTTTCGTCTTCTTCGTCGTTCCTCTGCAACTTCCACCCCAATTTCTATGCAAATTCAAGAATTTTCTCTTTTTGTTCTTATGTAAACTTTGTCCTAAACCTCCTATTGATGCTTCGCTCTAATTCTAGCGATTGCACCACCTACCATCATCCATCACCCCCGCCTCTGCCATATTCTATCATCTCTGCTCCTATCCCATGTCCTGTCCTACGCCACAAACTGCTGTAACTTGCTCCGTAGCTGATTTTTCAATGGAAGTTGCGGTGGCAGTTATTGGAAGAAATCAGACTTACCAACAGCAAATATTTACTTACCATATTTCTCTTTGATATTCTTGTTATGTATTATAGTTACTATCAGTACTATCAATTTGTATCTTCTATTTAAGGGCTTATTAGGAGCTCATTTTTTGTATATAAACTGATTTGCTGGTAATGAAAACGTGAGCTTGGCATCTTCCATTTACCTTTTTACATGGTATCCGAGCAATTGGAATCCTAGGGCATTATTTCTTCTTCTTTTTTTCTCTCTCTTCGTCGTGGCTGAAGAGAGCCCTATCCCTGTGACTTCCAATGCTTCAAACAACACCACAAATAACAATTAATTAAATACCATCCAATCCAATTATGATGCCTCATCACACTCTATTCTTTATGCCTCTGATAACCCAGGCACAACCTTGGTAACCTGTCTTCTCAAAGAAGATAATTACCCCACATGGCATCGTGCAATGACAAACGCACTTCAGGCCAAAAACAAATTTGGCTTTGTGGATGGATTTGTCAAACGTCCATCAACTGGTTCGCTGGAAGAATTTGCATGGATCCAATGCAATCAATGGTAATCTCTTGGATTTTTAATTCTCTTTATCCTACCTTCCACGACAGTGTAGCATATTTCGTGATGGCATATCAGATGTGGAATGACTTCGAAGAATGATTTTCACAAGATAACGCTCCTCGCATTCATTAATTGAAAACTGAGATGATGAATACCTTGCAATATGTCATGACTGTGTCTGTACAATACACCAAATTAAAAGGCATTTGGCATGAACTTAGCACTTATTCCCAGATTCTACTATGCACTTGTAGCTCTGCAAAGGCACTTGCTATAGAAAGGGAGAGAAAAGGAGCATCAATTTCTAATGGGATTGAATGAAAAATATAATGTAGTGTGCTCTCAGATCTTGAATACAGATCAATTGCCTTCATTATCTCATGCTCATGCTTTTGTCGCATAAGAGGAGTGCCAACAACTAGTGACAGCATCAAGATCACCTTCCATCGAGGCAGCATCATTCATTATTAGTAGCGTCAATAGTATCAGAGGCAATCATGATCCCTCCAAGCAATTTTGTGAATATTGTAAAAAGATCAAGCATATCCAAGATAATTGTTTTGAGTTACTTGGTTATCCGGAGTGGTGGGACAAAGGGAAGAAGCCGTTCAAACCCAAACTGGCTAATAACTTATAACATAGAGAGATTTCTAAGGGTAACAATACAATACCAATCAAAGGGTTGACAAATGAGCATTACGCTCAACTTATATCTATGTTCAATCTTGAAAAGACTCGTGATTCTACAACAAATTTTGCGGGTAAGGCAACTTCTCTATCCAATAGCATAATTGAATGAGTTCTGGATTTTCATTGAATGCTTCTAACCATATGACATGCCACGAAAGTGTCTTTACTTTTCCCAAAATCGTACCTCATTTTTCACCAATTAAAATTCCAGATGGATCATTCCTTCCGGCTAAGTCTTATGGAGGTGTTTCACTTAATCTTCCTTTACTTGCAATCTTATATCTATTAGCAAATTAACCAAAACTTTAAATTATGTTGCTCATTTTTTCCCTTCATTTTGCGCCTTATAGGACCTAACCACGAGGAAGCTTATTGGAATGGGTGAATTAAGAGATGGGCTCTATTATTTCAGGCAATCAAAAATCCTATGGCTTTAACCAACACCGGTACTCCTAATTCTAAACTTATTTTGTGGCATCAGCGTCTTGAACATTTGTCCTTTAATAGACTATCTCTTCTTACCGATTTAGGTCTGTCCACCATTAAGTCTTTTAATACATGTTGTGACTCTTGTAATCGAGTAAAGCAGGCTCGAAAACCTTTTCCTATTAGTTCGAGTAAAACACATGAATCTTTTGAGTTAATTCATTGTGATGTTTGGGAACCGTATCACACCACCTTTTTATCTAGCGCCAATCATTTTTTAAGAAATGTGGATGATTTCACTAGAAGCACCTAGGTGTATTTAATCAAAACCAAATCCTAAGTCTATATCAGGTTGATTTCCTTCATAACTATGATAACTAGAAAGACTGAAACAAATTAGCAGTGATAATGGAACCAAATT